CACCCAGGGGAGGCGATTTCTCACCCCCCCTCCACCCCCCCAAGTGCGTGTGCCCTGTAGAAAAAAAGTAATTTAGTTCTTGGGTGAAAATTTTTCTTTCAAGAATCTAGTGGCATTCTATGTTTGCAGTGATTCATTTACCTATTTGTCAATATAAGTAGTTTTGCTACAACAGCTGTGGAAGTACCTGAAAAGAAGGGCTATATACCTAAATACTTTAAATGAGTTGTGCTTTTTGTGCTGAAAGAAATGTGCACTGGCTGCTCGTGAGGGAGAGACGTAGAGTGTGTTTTCGGCCTGTCTAGCAGTGTCACTGGGTGTTTTTAGCCTTCCCCTTCCCCAGTGGGTGGTGAGGGGTCTGAGTCAGGCGTAAGCAAGAAGAGGTCTAGCCATCTTCAGCTCCCAAGCAGATCTTTTCAATATGAGTTTGTTATTTAGTGAGAAGAATAACAAATAACAAATTTGCATCACTTCACACCTGAGCACGCAAAATATAACCATGAAGGATGTATAGTCCTAAGTTCTTTTTAGCAATTTCTGAATCAAAATTAAATTCCTACTTCCCAGTGAGGATCTGGCAATTCATTAGAGAGATTTTTAAAGGACTATCTAGGATCCTTGGGCATTTGAAAAAGCAGAGATTGGTTGGGAAATAAGGCAGTAGATCAGATAGAGAGTAGGAACAGGTGAACGATTTTTTCCTGGTCAATATATGTTAGAATCTTTCTTCCTTCCTCTCTTTTTCTTTCTTTTCTTTTCTTTCATAGACATCTTTGCCTTGTGGTGTGTGTGCTTGCCAGAGAAAGAGAGAGAGAGAGAGACTGTGAGAGGGAAAGTGAGAAATCACCCCCCGCCAGGGGGATGGCCATGCCGCAGTCCCTTCTCTTCCATCCTCCTCCAGAGATACTGGGCACACATGCCCACGTGCACAGTGTGAGTTTCAAGCCACCGGGTCTGGGACTCAAACCGTGGTTGACCACGTGGGAGTCCAGCAGCGTAACTGCTGTGCCCTCTGCTGGACACTGTGTTAGAATCTTAAAATAGCTGTTTTTGAAGTACATGCAGCAGATGTGCCTAACCCCAGATGAAACATCATCCTTGGTTCGTATTGATGTTTAAAGGAAGACACCATGTTGACTCAGGATCTACTTGGTGCCCGTCAATAAAAAAGTATGTGCTTATGAGAAAAACATCCTGTCCTACCCTTAGTGAGCTTGGCCTGGCTTACCGACTTCACAGGGAAACTCAGACACCCTTTGTTTCAGGTCCGGGGGAATAAGGGAGAAGTCCTGTACATTTTGGATGCCACCAACCCGCGACACTCCAACTGGCTTCGCTTCGTTCATGAGGCACCATCTCAGGAGCAGAAGAACCTGGCCGCCATTCAGGTGAGCTCATTTGCTGCTGCTTTGCATATGCACGGGGCGGGGAATGAACTAATTTATGACTGGACTCCTGCTTTGCATTTATTTCACAGTGACCTGCTTCAAATAACAGTAACTAATTCACAAAAGCAGAGCTATCTCAGCGAGGCAGCACGTGCAGGAAAGGGCAAGCCTCCTGTAAACTAGCACCAGGTCCCTCACTTTCTGAGAGTCCTCAAGGGAATGACTTACATGGGTTGATATTGTCCTTGGCAGATCTTGCCTTCAAGTACTTTCATGTCATTCCTTGAATGTTCATTGGTAGTGCTTTTGGTTTGCAGTTGATGTAGTTCATGGTACTATACTCTGTGTAATTGTTCTGTATGGAGAAAGTTTTTCTTTTTCTTTCTTTAAAGAGGATTTTTGCTATATAGTGTGTATGCTTGCCAGAGAGACAGAAAGTGAAAAATCACCCCCCAGGAGGGATGGCCATGCCACAATCCCTTCTCCTCCATTCTCCTTTTGGGATCTTAGGCATACACAGACACGTACCCAGCGTTGAGTTTTAGGTCACCGGGTCTAGGATGTGAACCATGGTTGACCATGTGGAAGTCCAGTGATGTAAGCATTACACCATCTGCTAGTCCCTGCATGGAGAAAGTTTACTTGAGTGTATTCCCATGATTAGGCTTGAGCCTCTTGAAGACAGTGTTTAGGGTTCTCCAGAGAAACAAACAGAATCCGTATGTATAAAAAATAGTGAATTGAACCACATGATTATGGAGGCTGGCAAGTTCTACACCTGTAGATCTGATGTCCCACTTTGAATCTGAGGCTTAGAACCAAAAATACTCAATGTCCCACTTGGAAGCTGGTCAAACAGGAAGAGTGGAAACCATAGTTTTAGGGCTGCCAGAGAGGAAATTTCTCTTTCACTGGAGGTAGGTCAGCCCTTGTTCTATTAAGGACTTCAAATGTTTGGATGAGGCCTACCTACATTATGAGATTAAAATACTTAACTCAAGACCACCTATTCAATTGTTAATCTCATCTAAAGATGTCTTCACAGACACACTCTGAGTAATGTTTTACCTACTATCTAGTGTATCATAGCTAAGGTAAGTTGCCATATAAAATCAAATCATTCCAGGTAGGAACACTGTTTTATGGAGTTTTGTTTCCCTGGATCCTAGTATACTGCTGCATAGAACACTAGGCTCTGATAGAAACTGTGAGTGGAGCTCAGGTGATCCCTCAGTAGAAATTAAAGAAGAGAAAAAGGTGCATTTTTTTTTTAGATGGACCTTATAATGAAAATGCATAGATTGGATAACTTAATCTGTCAGAGAAGTGATCGGGCTCATGTGAAAGCTTAGCCTCTGGGATCTTAAGATGCAGAAGAGGAAGTAAAATTACAGTTGGCAGAAGTGGGAGAGGAAGGGATAAAAATAAGGGAACAACAATACTTGGGTATATTGTGTGTACATAGTGGTTGGTATACCTGCGGTCATTTATTTATAGGAGCTCTGATAATTTGTTGAGGATTATGCTCATTTCATTCAGTTCTAAATATAAAGTCAACAGTGGCCAGAGGGAAAATTACTATTTTTAATTTGCTATAGAGCATGTGTATTTACCAGACAGAGACAAGAGATAAGGAGAGAGAAAGGGAGAAAGCAAGCTGCCAGGTCTGGGTGTCGAACCACAGTTGGGTACGTAGAAGTCTAGCACCTTCACCACCATGCCACTTTTTGGCCCCAGAATTAAGTTTTAAAGTAACTAGAAAATGCAGTCCTATAGAATATTCTGTTTTAAATATCATCTAACCTTTCTTTGTTTGTTTGTTTCCAGTACAAATAAGTATTAGATAATCATTGTGATCACTGTCTCTTTGGGTATGGATACCTAAGATGTGACTCTTAACCAGGTGACTGAGTTGGGATGGAAAACAGGTTCTTTGGCAGTCAGAGGTATTCAGGTTGCTTTTTAGATTATTTATGACATGCATTGACCCAACCACAAATCTAAACTGATTGATTTTTTTTCTTGTCATGTAGACATTAATTTGTTTTATTTTTTCTGAGTATTTCTATATTTCATCATGGCTTCCTGAGGCAAATTCATCTTGTAATCTTTTAATTTTAATTTATAGATTCCATTTGATTGTTTCTTTGCAAATGTTACTATTACCCAGATTTCTTACAGATACATGAAATTTACTGTATTTAAAATTTTTTTAAAAATAATTATTTATTTAATTTTATTTATTCATTCATTTATTTTTAATTTGACCAGAGTGAGATACACTGAGAGAGAGAGAGGGAAAGTGAGAAAGCAAGTCACCAGGTCCGGTACTCGAACTGTGGTCGTCCGCGTGGGAGTGTCCAGCACCTTAACCACCATGTCACCAGCTGGTCCCGTGAAATTTACTTTAAGTCCACTCATTGCTTTATTAAGTTCTTCATTATTATATTTGTAGAGAATATTATTTCAGCTAGATTTGTTTTTCTCTTTAGTGATAAATACTATGGCCTCTATATCTTACGGTAGGCACTGACACTTTTCTCATTTTCAGTCATCACATTTGCAAAGACTTAACACTATTTTGGGGTTCATTTGATGAATTTTATTGTAATTTTCATACTGTATTAATCTCTTTTTTTTGGGGGGGGGGTGCTGTAGGGCATATTGCTCTCCAGAAAGACAGAGAGAGACAGAGAGACAGAAAGTGAGAAATCACCCCCCAGGGGGGATGGCCACACTGCAATCCCTTCTCCTCCATTCCCTTCTCAGAATCTTGGGCATGCACACCCATGCTTCCAGTGTGAATTTAAACCACCGGGTCTGGGATTTGAACCGCAGTCCACTACATGGAAGTCCAGCAACATAGCCATTATGCTAACTGCTGGTCCCAATTATTATTAATGATTTAACAAGAGGGGGACAGGTGAAAGTGGGATTAGAATAGGTTTCATGTAACTCAAGGCTCTGCAAAATTTCACTCTTGAATTTAATCAGACTCTAAGTCCATTCAGAGGCCACTGGGTGTCTTTTGGTGCAGAAAACAATGACAGTAGCCTTTCTTTTCTTTTTTTTTTTTTTTTTTGCACTGTTTTGCCTTTTCTTAACAGGGGGATTGAGTACACTATTTGCATGTTTTTCATCATAGAACAATAGGGAAACTTTGTTAGTTCTCTTGAGGTAACATTTCTTATTTGAACAGTAGCTGTAGTAGGGGATTGCAAAGGGTTCAAAATCACATCTGAGCCAGGGGCAGAAAGCTTAATAGTTGGGTCACATGGCTGAAAGCAATGTCAGCTTTGTAATTCGTTGAGGTGATCTCCTGAGAATTACATTCCAGAAATATTGAGTTGGTAAGAGAAGATCATAATGTTTCCTGCATTACATTATGAATCACTTGCATTCTAAATTGCATCTGAAATTTGGGGTATTCAGGAAATTTTTTATTTGAGCTGTACGTCCCGGGAGTGGAGTAAATGAGAAACATTTGTGGCTATGTGGCTTGCTTGGTGGAAAACGTCAATACTTAGTCCAAATTTTTTGGACAAGGGATTAAAAATTTGAGGTCTGTTTTGACAGAGGACTGGAACTTCTTCTTGGAGACTTGATTATATTTCTAGTGTTGCAGTTTATTTGACTTTGGAAAATTTTCTTTGGAAATGATGATTTAAGTATTTGAGTTATTAAAGAAGGATCTAGTAAGCAAACAAGTCTTCCCACATGTCTGTTTTTCAGAATAATCAGTTGAACTATATGCTCAGACTTGTGAAAAGTTTCCACTTACGACTAGAAAATTCTAAATGTGAAAGATTGGCATCAAATGAACCCAAAGGATTCTTTAGTTTTATAAGAAGTTGGTATGTCTTACAAATGTTGATTTTGATGTACTAAAGGAAAAATATATATGTGGTATTGGAAAAAAAATTTGACCTAGTCAGTATTTTGAATGCTTTAATAAATTTCTGATCTGCTTATTAAAAAACTATTAAAATACAGAATTATTTAATTTAGATTTGGAAATTACAGAGATAAGTATAACATCTCATTTTTCATTTTACTATTTTATATTATTTTTATTTCATTATTTTTAAGAATTATTTATTAAATTAAATTTATTATTATTTTTAAAAATTTGCTATAGGCCATAGTGCTCAGCAGAGAGAGACACAGAGAGACACAGAGGGAGAGAGACAAAGTGAGAAAGCAAACTGCCAGGTCTGGGAGTCAAACTGTGGTTGGCTATGTGAGAGTCCAGTGCCACAACCACTATGCCACAGAGGGTGATGAGCAAGAGTGATAGAGACGGGTGAGCGTGTCTTTCATAAACTGATCTTGGAAACAATATACCAAGTCATCACTTCTGTTCAATGCTGTTAGTCACACAAGCCAATCCTGATCCAGTGCAGGAAGGGATTGCGGGAGGGTGTGAATACCAGAGGCGAGGCACCGCTGGGGGCCACCTTCAAGGCTGGCTATGACAGTGATCAGTGTGGAGAATTTGCCTTATGGAGAGATGGGGTAACATTAGAGTAAATAGAAAAACATGCACTTGATAAAGGAATGCAGAACTCAGCCCCGTTGGGCTGATATTGAGAAAGTCAGTTTTGAGCAGTAGAAAGGTATCAGTTTTACTATCTAAAGGACTTTGCGAAGGCTCCTGACTTCAACCCTCTCTAGCTGAGCAGATTATTCAACTCATCATTCAGCTGGTAGCTACTGGTCGTCTGCCCTGCACCAGGCCCTATGCCAGCACTTGAGATATGAAAGCTAGAAGAATGACCTTGTTCCTACCTTCATAGCTGTAAAAATAGTCTTCAAAACTTGCTCTTTTTTGTGGCTTGATTGTAATAATACCCACCTCCCTGAATTTTTGTGACGATTACATTACATAGGGTAGTATATGCAAAACACGTGGCTTTTATGCATGCCGATATACATTAGCTGTATTTTCATTATCTTACCCCTGCCAGGTTTCTAGTTTTTGTCTTTATAGCTTTATTGCT